ACCTTGTCTAGTTCCTTTCTCTGTTTTGAATGCATTTGAATATATTCCACTTTGGCTGAGTTTTTATTATACAGATTTCTTATTAGGTTAACTAGGTGGTTAGGTACTGCTATATTTTCCATTATACTCCAGAGAGGATCCCATTTTACTGAATCAAAAACGCTTTCAAGCATTCGGATTCTGGAATGTAATACGGGGGACTAAATTCAATAGCCGGAGAACTCATACTTAATTTTTTTTTCAGATTGTTAAAGTCTTTAGATGTAGCTCCGCATATATACCTAACACCGACTTGTAGATTTCTGTACGTGTTAAGGTCTTGGCAGATTCTTCAACATAACTGATATCCTCGGTCGTTACATCAACTATTTCTTTCACAAAGCTAAATCGTATAGGTCTACAATATCTAGGCGAGGACGGTGTTGGGTTTTGACAAATTACTTTTTTTCCTTCTTTGCCGCATATTATTCGACGTGGAACAAAAGAAGATAGGAATATATGCGCATCCGAAGCAGCGTCATCGTCAAATTTCTGTTTATATCTGGCTTCTTGAGATCCGTCACAACTCCATTTGCAAATAATTTTGAAAGACTTCCTTTTATTATCATTTAGAGAACAAAGGATTTCGTCGAACCCCACTGATAGCGGTGAACGGTGTTATGTATTAAACTTTGTAAACTGCTTTCTGCGCAAGTACTTGAAACTTTTATGCAATCCGTTGGCGGGTAGCATTTTTTTTTTTCCTTTAACAATAAGTCATAGGATGGGTAAAAAGATTTATTTGTATTTCTAATTATTTCATACTTTCGCTAGGTCAAATCAGCTTCCACAAAGATTGCTAGAGCTTGCAACGGTGTAAGAGCAGTAATATCTTCTTTATCTAATTTTCTGAATGCATCTCTATATTTATTGGTTGGAGTTGGAGAGTTTGTAATCTCTTTTAATATTTTTGAAGCATTTCTTTTTCCTCGAGCCTGTATGCGAGCCAAGATGAAAAAAAAAATCACTTTGCGGTAGTCATCGTAATTTATAATTGCATCATCTGTTGACAAAAACCAAAAAAGTTTCGTTAGTTTAAGAGTTTTCCTAGGCCAAAACGTCGAAATATTATTTATTTTATTATTTTTTTCAAATTTTAGAGGTAAAAAAGACAAGTTATTTAAGTTTTCGAAAATTTTTGTTAAAATTTGACTAATTTGATGTTAATAAAATTATATTAATCAAAATAGACAATACCTCGAAATTGCGACCCAGTAATTTATCTATTAAAGAAGTGCGCAAAATCTGAGAAGGATTGATGAAGTAGTTTTTGAGATACAGAAAAAATTTTCTGAGAAAAACGCGTTAAAAAAGCATATTTTTGATAATCACACAGAATCGTCTATTTCAGGCCCATATAGCGACGTGCTTCCTGCTAAAATATCTAGAGGATCTTTTTGCTCCTGCCTTCGACAAACTCCTGTCCCTTTTTTGGTTGTTGTTGCATCTTCATCTTTTTTTTCCGCTCTAGTAATTCGATTTTTATCTTCTGCGAGTGCATAATTATGAAAACTTTACACTGGACTTTATTTCATTTTCTATAAGGGTGCTTACTCACCTCACTCACCACGCTCACTCTTCTCAATGACTCACTCACCTCACTCACTCACTCACTCACTTACTTACTCACTCACTCATTCACTTCACTCACTCATTCACCTCACTCACTCATTAACTCACTAACTCCTAAAAATCTATAACTCACCTCACTTACTCACCTCCAGGGCCGGTTCTAGGGTTTTTGAACCGCGGTCCAAACAAAATTTGGCGCCCTTTTATACAAGATGTTAAAAATTTACTGTAAATTAAAAAGATAGTACAAAATAGTGTAAAAATTTATTTATTTATAAAATAATACAATAGTTATTTACTTACAAGTGATGCAACATATATTTTAATAGCATAACGAGTGTATTTGAAATTTGAGCGACGAAGCAGTAAGAACTTTGAATGGGCTTGAAGAAATGAAATTTATGACAAATAAAGTAAATATTTTTCCTAAAAATAATTTAAAAATATTTTTTACTTCTTCCTCTTCCTTCTTTTATGTAGGCTTTAAAGCCTGTTTCTTCTTCAATATTAGCCTCCTAAATTGTTTAAATTATCGCACCATCTTTTTCTTGGTCTGCCAATACTTCTTCGTCCACTTGGTGACTTATCTCGTGCTATTCGTACTATTTATACTATACTTTGCTATTCTACTAATGTGTTCGTTCTACTCTTGTTTCCGTTTTGTCACCCATCTATTTATGTCTTCTATATTGCATGCTCTTCTTATGTTTACGCTTCTCTTCTCATCCAACAGACTTTTCCCTGATATTCGTCGGAGTATTTTCATCTCTGTTTTTATTAGTCATCTCGTTTTAGATGTGTTTGGTCTTGTCTCTGCCGTGTATGTTAATATAGGTCTAATTGCTGCTTTATAGATTTTTGTTTTTGTGTCTTGACTTAGGTGTTTGTTCTTCCAGATTGTATGATTAAGAGATCCCGCCGCTGTACGTGCTTTTAAGCTTTGTTGTCGTACTTCTTCAACATCTCCTTAACTAGTTATAACTATTTTCAGATATCTAAACCTTGCTTCCTGTTTTATTATTTTCCCATCAATTTTGATTTTACATCGTAGTGGGTATTTAGATGTTGTCATACATTTAGTTTTTTCTGCTGATATCATATTGTATTTCTTGGCTGTTGTATTGAAGGTGTGTGTTAATCTTTGGAGCTCGTCTTCTGTCTCGGCGATTAATGCGGCGTCGTCTGCATAACATAATATTTGGATTTGTTTGTTCCCAATTCTGTAAGCATAACATTTACGTACTGCTTGTATTATTTCGTCCATTATTTTATTAAAGAAAGGTGGCTTAACGAGTCAACCTGTCTGACTCTGCTTTGTACTGATATACACTGTGTTAGTTTTCCATTTATCTTTGCCTATATTCGATTATGGAAGTAGATGTTTTCGATGGTTTGTATAATATTGATTGGCATGTTTCTTATATACAGTAGGTGTAAGAGGTCTTCGACTTGGATGCGATCGAAAGCCTCTGCCAGGTCTATAAAACATAGATATGCTGGTTTATTGTACTCGATGGCCTTTTCTGTGATTTGTCTTAGTACAAATACGGAGTCTACGCAGAATCTTCCGGATCTGATAAATTGTTGTATATCTGATAAAGTTATTAGTTTATTGATTTTGTTGGTTAGGACTTTTGTGGTAAGCTTAAGTGCGGTGTTCAGTACCTCTGGATACCTTTATTATGGTATATGGGATTATGGATACCTCTATAATTGTTGGGGTCTTTTTTATCTCCTTTCTTGAACATTGGTGTCATTATGCTATTTCTCCATCCGTCTGGTATCTTGCAGTGCAATATTAGTTTTTGTATAAGTTTGGTCATCTCATACTTCCTGGCAACTGATTTTTATTTTGTGTCTTACTTCAGGTACTTTATTGTGTTGATTAGTATTTTTCTTTCCTTTAAACAGTTCAGTCAGGTATCTTTCCCATTCTTTTTCTTGTATGTTATTGTATTCCTTCAATTCTGCCATTTATTTCTGTTGGTTTCTATGAATCTCCATATTTGTTTAGTGTGTGTATACCGTAGAAGTCGCTTTCCATCCTTTTTGTAAACTTTCTCAATGTTCATTTTTTGTTCTTATTACCAACTGCTTTGTTTCATTTCGTGTTCTTCAATAGGTGTCTCGGGATTCTGGAGTATTTGATCTGAGTTTAAAGTTCGGATATCTAGAATCTGCTTTGGGTGCGTTTTTCTATTAGTGACTATAAAATTGATCATATAGTGGTTTATAATATTTTATATAATATTTTATATATTTAACCTATTGTAATTTGATTACAATTCATTTTTATATATTTTAATTGTTGCACCAAGAATCATTTTACTTTCCTTTATGGTTCTTATTTTGTATTTTGTAATAATGGGCTGACTCCGAAATTAAATAAATAAAAATAAACTCTAAACGGAATCTTTAAAACATTATTCGCTCCGTGCGTGACCATGGTAGGGGTACATTGAAACGATGCCAGCGTGCGTAGCGGCGAAATATGACAAAATTGGAATATTGGACAAAATATTTTTACGCATAAGTTTTATCAAAAATGTGTGCAAATACATGTTGCGTATTTAATTCTGCTAATAATAGCAAAAACAGTGTGTGTAGTTTTTATAGGTTCCCAAAGATTACATATAAATTAGAGAAAAGAAAAATATGAATTCGTGCTATTAATATGAAAAAGTAAATATCACATAATTTCATTTTTATGCAATTGAAATAGGAACAATTTAAATAATTTAACTTGAATGATATTTCATAAGGCTTCAAGCTAACTGCAGATGACTTTAGCTTTTATATCATAACTTTTACTATTATTTTTTTTAATTATATGCTCTTTTGCGTGAAAAACTTGATTTGCCAGTACTAGATTTTTCGCTTTCTTTTCCGTTTGGAGTTAAAAAGATTAAAAGGATATTATGATGAATTTTGAGAAACTCAGTTTTTAATACTACATTTATTTTGTACATAAACTGAAAAAATATAGTTAAAAAACTAATTTATTAATAATTGTCAATTTCGCATGTATTTAACAATGTCAAACATATGTCATATATTTAACCTGAAAATTGGGACTCCAAAATTGTCAGATGAAGGCGGTAGGTGTCGCATCAGTCACGCACGGAGCGAATAACCAATATTCATATTATATAGCAACAGCGTTTGCGTTAACACTTTAAAGTTGAGATTAAGAAGATACCTATGTCTGATGTTTCATATCTCTGTAAAACAAAATTCCATTATTTCGTTGACTAGAGGTACTTTAAAATTAGAAAAACTGCATCGTTCATTAAAAAATACCTATGTTATGTTGTTTTGATACAATTTACATACTATTGATAATTTTAAATTGTAGCCACTTTTCACTGTATACATGTTTTTTTTTTCAGAAAAACGACATTCTGGGAAGCTTCTTCTGGGGTTATATTCTAACAGAATTACCCGGAGGCCGAATGGCTGAAATTGTAGGTGCTAAAAAAATTTTTGGAGGAGGAATGCTAATGGCAAGTTTGTTGACAGTTCTAACACCCGCAGCGTGTTATTGGAACTTTTATGCGATAGTGATTCTAAGAGCACTAGTGGGATTTGCACTAGGTGCCACATGGCCGTCCATGCCTCCAATGGCTGCAAAATGGATACCGCCATTAGAGAGATCTAAATTTATGGCTAATATGATGGCTAGCGCATTAGGAGCCGCGATAACATTACCGGTAAGCTAATCTAAATACTAATCGAATAGGCAAATCTAAGCTTATGACTTTTGTTTAAAGTACCTACTTTGCATTTGTTACATTAATTTTAATATTTATCGTTTTTTATATTTTTTATCGTTTTCGTTCATTATAGTCACAAATAGTTTTATTTGCCGTCATAATTTTCTATGGTAGTCGTTAATTCCATCATCTACATAAAATTAACTTACAAATACAATTTTTCAAAGTCTTATTTGGATAACAAATACAAAACAATTATTGTCAATCTAGCAACAACTTCATGCAATTATGCAATTAGTTTTTAATATCTTGTAGTGATCTAGTTTGTGTCTAACCCTTACCATTGATTATAAACCACTACCTAGATAGCTCACCTCGTGGTAACCGAAAGACGTATCAAAAACTAGATGGCGTTACTCGAAAACCGTATCGAGATTCTCATTCTCTCTCTGACTTGCAAAGAGATAGGAGTGTTGTCAGGGCCGAACTTACCCTATAAGTGTATTATCTGTGTCTAGTGTTGTGACAAGTTATAGCTAAATTTTATAAAAAAAAGGACTCACATTTTAGATAAAATGGCCTGTATAACGCATAAATGTGTTTACGCGTGATGTTTTGAAAGAAACGATGGAACAAATAATAATATATCTTTCTTTAAATTTCCTCTGAAAGACGTAGAGCGCACAAAAATTTGGCAAAAAACTGCGGGAACAACGACAACGACACCCGATTTGGGCGTCGAAACGTTAATAAAATGATTTTTTTAGTAAAATTGTAGCTTATTTCCCATCAAAACTAGATAAGATCTCGATTAACAAACATTTTTTTCAATGTTATAAATGCTTGTCTTGCAATTTCAATGCGTGTCCTGATTTCTCTAATAAATACCTTGGTCATTGTTTTTATTGTATTATTATAATGATCTGTAAGTTTGATTTGTTCAAAGCGCTTATTTTTTAACAATTTTTTTTTTAATTTTGAAAAAAAAATGCTTTTTTTCAAAACAACTTAAAATTATTAGTGACACCAAAAATCACAAAGAGTAAAAAAATGTAGGTTTTGCTTTTCTGAATATTTTGGTCATAACTTGCTTACTCTTTATGCAAGAAACTTAACAAAAATAAACATTTTTTAAACACTTTAAAAAAAGTTGTAATGACTTTTCGTCGAAAAGTGCTTTAGTTTTTTATTATTTCACGTTGAAATATTCAACATGGAATTTGGCGAATAAGAACCTATTTTTCAATAACTCGAAAAGTATTGACTTAGTAAAAAATCTCTATAGAACCAAAGTTGCTTAGAATTACTGATTTTAGGCACTTGCAAACTTATCTTAAACATATATTTTTTCACTCCCGATAAGGGGTGATACTAATCCATAGGGCAAAAGCATAATCTATTTTTCTTTGACATCTTAGTTAGGCGTAAGCCAAATTTCATGTCAACCCAAGCGATTCTTTAAAATTATTAGGTTTTGCAATATTTTACCGTGAGTGAATGGACTAAATCTGGAAATAAATTCTGTATATTTAGCTTGAAATATTTTAGTTTGCATCAATTCTGGAAATTAATTTGTTTGAAAAGTTACAAAAAAGTAATTTACATGAGATGTAATTTATCACTGCTAATTTTATTATGTATTTTATATTTTGTTATTTTTTTGTATTGCGTTGATAAATAAATAATTTTTAGAAAACCTTTACTGTTTTTATTAATCAATTTTTAGCGTTTTTTCTGAAGTAAAATCGGAATTTCATAATATAGATTAGAAGCACGTTAAAATTATTTGTGAAAATGCTGAGTGCCATCCTTATATCGTCCTCTATTACACTAGAGAATTGGCGGAGCATGGAACTTAAATTTATTTTTCAATCTTGGCAAATATTTCAATGAATGTCGCCACCATACAGTCAGGTAGTACTTAGGCGTGAGGGGTAAAGAGGTGTAAGTGGGCGGAGTTTAACACTGAATTCGTTTTTACCTTAGAGTGAGCTATTTAGGTAGTGGTTTATAATCAATGCCCTTACATATTTGAACTCTAAAATGCTATTACTTCTGGCTAACTTGATCATCTTTCTAGGAAGCATAGGAAAACTCAGAGTATTGCCGTACACGTAACTTTAAAATGTCCTTATTACATAGGTATTAATTAAAATATAATAATTAAAATTGAAATCTACTTCATATTAAGTGTTTTTTATTTTCGTTTAACATTAGAAAATAAAAACCCCATTTAAAGAGATATATCACTTTAAGTGATGACTACGTTAGTACGGTATTAACCGAATCATTCGGGTCACTCCGTACAAGTAATTGGCTAATTTTTTTTTTTACACAATTATATTTTATCTAAGAAAAAAGGTAAAAATCATAATCATTATCTATCAAAGGTCGTTAGGTCCTACGTACAAAATCCGAAACAATTATTATCGGCAGAATCATCTCCCAAACACAAAGCATGCAACCAACTTCCACTTTTTACACCCCTATACCGTGGTTCTTTATCTTTATCCATATCACCGCAAATGACGCATTGTTCCTCAATATCAGTCCCACCTCCCCTTCCTTCAACATATTTCTCTTCAAAATCTTCATCTTGCTTTTGAAATCAATTTTTTCTGTTTTTAATACCGTTTATACTAGTCTCAGCCCGTTTTTCTAGTTTCATCTTTTTGGCAGCTCGTTTTTTCACTTACTTCTATTACAGATTTTATAGGTCTTGAGGTAATACTTTTAATTGCAGATTTGTCTTTTTACGTTTCCCCTTCCTTGTTGGGATGTTATTCTTTTCAAGTGTTTGGGGATATTTCACTGAAAGGTATTCAGTGCATTCTTTATTTTCCTCTAAAATCAGAAAAATTTCTTCTTTGACGTGCTGAATTTCTGCCTGAGTTGAATAAGTGGTTCTTGACATCGACGGAAGTTGATTATTAACTTTTTCTAGTTCTGAATTTTCAGGAAGTAGTGAATTTTGGATTACTGATGTAGTAGGACGTGCATTGTGTATTCGTAGGTACGAAAGACTCATTAAAATTCATAGGAATATCTAATAAACTAGGTGCTCCTAAATGTTCAACCTTCATTCCTGTATTTCAACAGCTTGTTAGGCAGAAATCGTGTCAGGAGGCTTTTATCTCCTTCTCATGTCAACTGGCTGAAAACATTTGGTGAAAGGCCAAATGTCGGCTGCTCGGAATCCACTAACTGATTTTTCTGCATTAGCAATATTCAAATATGCTTGAATAAATATTGGAATCAATTTCAGAGTGTTAATATTTCATATTGATGGAGTTTCATGTATTTATTACATTCTTTTGGGTCCTGTATTGACAGACTACCACAAACGGTTGCCGTGACAGCTAACTTAACAAACCCTACGCGTGTAGTAACAAGGACAGGCAGCTTTATATCGTTTTATTTATTTAAAACTTGTATGGAATTAGCCGCCGTACGGCAATACCCTCCGTTCCCCTGTACATTACCAAGAGCAACTCTTCCTAGCGATATTTTAAAAACATTTTGAGGGAGTAGTGATTTTCTACAACAAATGATTATTTTCTGATCACCGTCATTTCATATTCTGTGAATTAAGATATGCAAAAAATAGAACCAAGCCCCACTTGAGAAAAGGAAATTGGGCTCACCTGATCTTTTTAAAAATATTTTTGGAATTTTGTCAATAACAATATTTACAATTGTAGGTTTAGATAGCCGCCCACTTCAAGGTTGTCGATTAACGATATCACTCTCAGTAAGTTTTGAGATATCACTGTAGTCGTTTTAAAAACAGGTATCAAAACACGAAAATAGTTTTTCAACTCGAAAAACAATTCAACATTGCTAACCAATTGATTACCATTTAATTGTAAAGTCTTTATTATTTTCTCTAACGCAAAAACTTTGCTATTTAAAAAGAGTTATACTGTTACTTATGTAAACTATTTACACACGAAAGTGTGCAAACAATTTGTATGCAAACTTATCCCTATTCTGAGAAAGCTTATATTTCAGCGAAATATGTCAAGATAAGTAAGATTAAAAACAGTGTTGAGTTTTGTCTTATCATTGAACTTAAGTTTCCATAAGTCATCGCCACTTCGGAAAATAACTTAACATATTACTTTAAAACAAGATGTAAAATTTTTCTATATCTGCTTCTATATCTTCTTTATTCTTCTATATTATTTTCTATATCTTAAGTTTTCCGTTTCAGGTCTTCCAGAAACTGGAATCTCTTTTTCTGACGTTCTTATTTTGTTTATCTGTTTGCTTTTGTTTTAAGATTGCCTTGATTTGATCGTGTTTTATCCTGAATAAAATATGAGGGTTTGTCTCATATTAATTTGATGTGATGTTCTATATTTCCTTCTAGGTTGCTGGTATGCCAAGAAATTGCGGGTAAGGTAACATGTGTGATATTATCAGGTTCTTCCTTGAGGTAATAACCCCTTTGCTCTTCTAATATTTCCTTGGAAAGGTATTTCTTCTTTGAGTTTAAATAAATGAAAACCCTTTAAATTGAATTTTCACTAGATTTTATTGAGAGAAACTGAAAATGTGTAAGTTCGGAATAGTTTTACAAAAAAATGCAGGTTAGATAGTTCGATTCTTGATGTAAGTTCATTTGGTCACGTAAACAGATGAGAACTTGTCACTTAAACCTCACTTTTGCACTTAAAAGTCTTTTACGAAGCACTTTATACAGCTATTTACAAAACATTGATGAAAAACACGTTGAAACCATTACTTGTTATATAAGAAAAAATGTTTAAAAGATATACGACCACATGTTAGCCGTTTATGAATGTTTAATTCCACTCGTACGTAAAAAGAAAACAAAAAACCAACAAAATACTACGAGTGGAGATGTGTACAGTGTTAAGATTGGAACGCTACTCTCAGCTCTCGATGCGCCCACGCTGAAAGAGCCGACAACGAGTTGCCGGGTCATAGCTAACGAACCCAAAAGCCGAAAATGAGTATCCGGATCATAGCTA